TCGGATTACGGCATGACGACATCGGCCTAGATCGGACGGGCGGACTGTCCCGACTCAGTCCCGGGCCTTTTGGGTGGAGGTATCGTGTCGTGAAAAGTAATTGAGGTGGGCAAGCGTGTGGAAACCGAGTACGTAGGACTGAGGGTCAGCCAAGAAGGAAGTCGGGAAGCGTTGACGCCGAACGCGCGAGACTAGCTTGATGTGGTCGCAGCACCTCTTGGAGTAACGCATCCATGTCTTTGAGGTGTGCATCTCAATTAGAGTGGCATAGCTCGCCGCCCACTCATGGAAATCTAGAGCAGAGCTATCGTGAAAACCCATCAACTGTGTTTTGCTGAGTTTTGAGCATGGACAAAAGCGGTATGCACTTCTTGTGTCCAGCCTTCCTAAAAGATCGTACACCCCATATTTAAGTGGCGGCTGCTCGCTTAGTAAGGACCAGTTTTCCCCACGTGCGGGCTGGCATCCTGCAAAGAACCTTAATTGCACCCACAGACATCTTTTTCACGACAAACAGCGCCGGTTCTATCACGGGCTTATCGTGGTAGGCTGAGAGAATTGCCCTGGATTGGATGCAAGTTCCCGTCGAGGATCCAAGTGCCGTCTCAACGTACCCGCACAGCCGGCTTTCCCCAGAGCATGACGTCAGATGCTATTTCGCGACATCACGACTGCGCTCAACCAAGAGCCTCGGAGTTCTGAAAATGCCGCCTCTTACCATTGGAGGATCTTTTGACGCAGAGTTAATTTGTCGCACACACTGTAGGTATGCGTCAGGCTAGCTGCTGTGCTCAGCGTGGTTGCTCAAGACATACACATGATGTAGCCGCACGTCAGCTGGGAATACAATTACGATTACTCGGAAGGATTTGGTGTGCCAATTGTGCCACACCTCAACCGTTTTCCAAGCTCACTTGGCGTACTCGCACCGAAGTCGACATCTTTGCTCCCGAGCACGCAATTCCGGCCTTGAATCTCTATTGGACACTAGTGCGAACCGTCAGCGACCATCACATCCTTCGCGCCCCATCCCTGTCGCCGCACCCGCACACCCTTGCAAGCTCGACCCATTTGGCATCAGATTGTTGCCGGGACCGCGGCGAAAAGCGTCACATCGCTAAATAATCACTTAGATCTGATCGGCATATCAGGGCATTATGTCACTTGTCAGATCCCTTCACTCGGGCTTTGCTTGGAAATACTTCCTACCCATCTCATCCTCTCTATCATAACAGTGGCCTTATTGACTCGACATTCCCTCGACTGCGCGTAAACTATTAGCGTACGTCAACACCAATTCCGATCCAGTAACGGAAGCGATCACGCAATTTCTCGTCATATCAAGCAATCCCGAGGCGTCGTAAAGGCTTCGGTCCTTCCCACATCCAGGGCACTCAAGCATTCCAAGCTACCTTGACTTCGAAGCTCACAGGCCGATCCTGCAGCCCAGACCGGCACAGCACCACCGCCATTCGTCCCAGAGAGACCGCGTACGCTTCACTCCAAGCCTCCAATTGCTTGCGCTGTACTTGTTCGCACCCGCCCGTTCGGTGAAGCTCATAGATAAGCTTTCGGACGTCCGTCAGCTCTTGTCGCTGCTTCTAAGGCTTATTCGGTCTTGTCAAACTTAGTACTGGATTTCAGGCACGTGGCATTCCAGTGCTGATCCAGTGCATCTTCGTTCGAGCGCGTTGGAGACCTCTCATCTCAACGATGGCTTCTACAGCCAGTAAAGTCGGCGAAGGCCTAGCAAAGGTGTTCGGCATCGACTTACACTACCGGAATGAAACTGGCTCGGAACGCATAACTCGAGGCGAAAGCGTCTTCACCATCGACTCCGCAGACACCTATGTCGAGGAAGAACCTACCGCGAAAGAATGGATCAAAGACACTCTTCCCAGTGGTCACGAGCTGAGAGAGTACTGCTCCAGCCTGTTTCCGTTCCTTTCCTGGATAGGCCGATACAACGTGCAATGGTTGATCGGAGATCTTGTTGCTGGTACGTCACATCTTAACAGTATCATTGTATAGCTATTAACTTTTATCAGGTATCACTGTGGGCGCTGTTGTAGTTCCTCAGGGTATGGCCTATGCGAAGCTCGCTGAGCTTCCAGTCGAATTCGGATTGTACTCTTCCTTCATGGGTGTACTCATCTACTGGTTCTTCGCTACCTCGAAGGACATCACCATCGGACCCGTTGCCGTTTTATCCACAGTCACCGGCGGCGTCGTACTGTCTGCAGAAGAGAAACTTGCCGGCCAAGACATCTCACGAGACATGATCGCGTCCGCCTTGGCCATCATTGCCGGATCGATCGTTCTCTTCTTGGGTCTTGTCCGCATGGGTTGGATTGTGGATCTCATCTCACTGCCTGCTATCTCGGCTTTCATGACCGGCTCTGCCCTCAGTATCGCTGCTGGGCAGTTCCCTGCCATGATGGGTATCACGGGATTCTCGACTAGGGACCCCACGTACAAAGTGGTCATCAACTCGCTGAAGTACCTTGGACGAACCGATCTCAACGCATCATTCGGCCTGACCTGCCTGTTCCTCCTATATGCGATCCGGTTTACCTGCGGTCAGCTCGCGAAGCGCTTCCCTACCCGCGCCAAGCTGTTTTTCTTCATCAACACTCTGCGAACGGTGTTCGTCATCTTGCTGTATATTCTATTCAGCTACCTGGCAAACCGAGAGCACAGGGCCAACGGAACCAAGCCGATTATCAAAACCCTTGGAACTGTACCACGAGGTAAGATGCTTCCTGAACTTGGTCAAACTCATTACTTACATTTCCAGGCTTCCAACACGCGCGCGTGCCCAAGATTACGATCCCCATCATCAAGTCCTTCGCGACCGAACTCCCATCGACAGTCATCGTCCTCCTCATCGAGCACATCTCCATCGCCAAGTCTTTCGGACGTGTGAACAACTACGTTATCAACCCATCGCAAGAACTCGTAGCCATTGGTGTCTCCAACTGCCTCGGCCCCTTCCTGGGAGCATACCCCGCGACTGGTTCTTTCTCACGTACTGCCATCAAGTCCAAGGCTGGTGTGCGCACGCCTTTTGCAGGTGTCATCACGGCCGCCGTAGTGCTACTCGCCATCTACGCACTCCCAGCTATGTTTTGGTACATTCCCAACGCAGCGCTATCGGCAGTCATTATCCACGCAGTGCTCGACTTGATTACCCCGCCGAACACTGTATACCAATTCTGGAGGATCTCACCGCTTGAAGTTATCATCTTCTTCGTTGGCGTTCTCGTCACTGTCTTCTCCAGCATTGAGAATGGTATCTTCGTCACGGTGTCAGTTTCAGCAGGCATGTTTGCTTTCCGCCTCTTCAAGGCCAAGGGCCGCTTCATGGGTAGAGCCAAGATCCACTCCGTCATTGGCGACCATCTGCTGGACCCAACCGAAGAAGACAAGATGTCGCCCCCTGGTGTTCGTCAAAAGCCTTCGGAGGGAGAGCACTCTGTTCGTGAAGTCTTCCTACCCATCGATCACAAAGACGGATCCAACCCAAGCATTCAGCTGGAAGACCCTTACCCAGGTATCTTCATCTACCGATTCAGCGAAGGCTTCAACTACCCCAACGCAAACCACTACCTCGACCAGCTCACCGACATCATCTTCGCGAAGACGCGCCGTACAAACCAAGCGACCTACAACAGACCAGGCGACCGCCCATGGAACGACCCTGGCCCTCGCCGTGGCAAAGATACTCAAGTTACCGACGATCGACCCACGCTCAAGGCCATCATCCTCGATTTCTCCTCAGTTAACAATGTTGACCTTACTTCAATTCAAAACCTGATCGATGTAAGGAATCAGCTCGACAAGTACGCAGCCCCAGACACCGTCGACTGGCACTTCTGCAACATCAACAACCGGTGGACCAAGCGCTCGCTCGCCGCCGCCGGCTTCGGCTACTACACTCCTGAGATGCCCGATAGCGGTATCACCCACCGCTGGAAACCGATCTTCAGCGTCGCCGAGATCGGCGGCTCCGATTCTGCTGCCGCAGAGGCAGAAGCACGCGAGAACCTCCTCGCACAACGCACATTATCGCAAGTACGAAGTCGCGATATCGAGGCTGCGCATCCCGACTCGGGCGATAGCTCCGAGACGGGTAGTATCACCAAGCAGCTGGAGCACAGCAAGGCGTATGGACACGCCGATGCGCAGGATGCTAGACATAGGGGCCGGATAGCGGTTGTTCAAGGGCTGAACAGGCCGCTGTTCCATGTGGACGTTACGGCCGCGCTGAACAGTGCGCTGGCTAATGCGCAGAGGAAGAGTCACTAAGCAGGCTGTTGTGGCCTTTGCGTTGTGGTAATAAGGACTCGTTTTTCTTTCAGTACATACTATGTAGAGATGATATCTATTTGCGCTCGGCTGTTTGCCTTGAGTGTTGCTTTCCCTGTTCAAAAACTAGTCTTACGATCTGCATGTGTGATGACGTGAGCGTGCGATGTCGCTCTTGCTGGTAGCTGACGTGAGATGGTTCGTTAGGCGGTCACTCCTTCCTTTCCAAACTGATCACGATGGCAAAGGTGGAATCTGGTCGGTTATGGTGTCTTTGATAGTTGTTTTCATTCTATTTAGTCCATACTCGTGTTTCTGCTCCTGATTTCGTACGCGTGGGTATATGTACCGCGTCATGCCCCAAACACAAAACATCAACGCCATGCTATGCTCTGTCCAGAACCATTTTTGACTCGCCCAATACAGTGAAAGAAATGCCCTGCTCCTCGTGATGACAGCCAGATGCTGTCCCCAAGATATCCGCGCCCGCTTGAAAGCCCCGCTCTCTTTGCGCAGACATCAATGTTTCCCAAAAAATGTGCTGCCTGGGTTGTGATGTTGTGAAGGTGGTAGCAACACTGGATCCCTGCTCTTCGTTGTTTCGTGCCTGATGTCGTACAAGTGACATCAACTTCGTTTCCCTCCCATGTTCTGCGAAATTTCATCTCCGTGGGCCCGCAAACGATCAACGTCTAGTTGTATGCTTCAGCTGGCAGAGACTCGCGACTCTGTGCGAAAAGGGCGCCAGCTTGCTCGATATTCCACTGTCCAGCTTCCAGGCACTGAATAGCGTAGTCGCGCTTAAGATTGGTTTCGCGCTGAACGTAGAGAATCATCTCTTCCTTCCTCTGCTGCTCGGGGTCGACGATTGCAGGTGTGGGTGTTGGTGTGGTAGTAGCCGGTATTTGCTGTGCGTTTGCTGCGTTATTGTTTGCCGGCGCGTCAGAACGGACCTGATTGCCATTCAAGATTTTCAGTTTTGGGAACCACGAGACAATTTCGTCTTGCCAGTTCGGGTTGGGAAACGGGTCGACGATGAGGTGTTCGACGTTTCTGAAGCGGCCTTTCCACGGCTTTAAGGCGTCAAGCGTCGCGAAAGCGTTGTTGCTTAGATCCAGGTTTTGGATGTGGCGGAAGTGGTTGCAGAGTTGGTAGACGGCGTGTGTGTTTTGGAGGTTGTTGCCGGCGAGTGTGACGCTGTGGATTGCTGCTTCTTTCGCTTCTTGCGTCTCGAGAATGGCGTCGCAAACAATCATGAGGGCGGGAAAGAACTTCTTTTGTGCGCCTTCCGATGCGAACATGCCGGATTGGAGAATTTCTTGGTCGCCGGCGATAGTTGATAAGTTCAACAACTTGTTGGTTGCATCGTAGCGTCGTCCCAGGAAGCCCTCCATCAGCGGATATGACGGATTTGATTTGAGTCTTTCAAGGGTTTCTTTGTCGATCGCCGGCTCTCGTGAGCGATTGTCTGTGCGATTGTCGTGCTGGAAGTGATTTTGGCCTCCCCTGAATCCTCGTCCTCGTCCTCGTCCCCTGCCTCGTCCGCGTGAGGACTCGCCATCGACCATCATCTGATCATCGTCATGGTTTTGTGGTGTGAATGAGACACTCCAGTTCCCGCGCCCTCGGCCGCGACCACGTCCTCGCCCACCTCTTGGTTGATCGTTCATGTTCATTGGAGTATGTTGGTTGTGTGTTAGAACTGGAAGAGATCTATCAAGCAAGACGGAGCAGATGGGATTGTCTATTAAGTCGGAAGGTCTGTGCGTCGCCAAGCCACAGTTTTCCAGTTCGTTCAATTGTCATTGGCCAAAACCCATGGAACCTTCGACGTCGACCAAGTTCACTGCTATTGTGCTCTTGCTCACCTATTGTTTCATGCTCTTTAGTCATGTCTGCTTATTCAAAATTGTGCTCTAAGTGCAAACAATACGGTTCTCTCGTGCTGACTCCTCGGGTTGCAATCAGGCAGCAAGGCAGCCACTTTGATGACAGCCCGAAGAAATTGACGCCATGATAGCTCGGTGCCTCTTCATCGGCTAGCAAATCCATCCGCGACGCTCTCTTCTGTCAACCCGGAGTGTGATTCCAGGGCCTCTGATGCTCTGGTTGCACAATGCGCTCCATACCTACTAAAAGACCAAGTTTTGAAACCCAGAAAATAACGATGAATTTGGATACAGGAAAGCAAAACACGTCATCCAGTAGTCGACTGAGACCGACAGTAAAGTAAGTGTGCGTTTCATAGATTTCCGATCTAAATGATACAAGCCTGGTTCAGAGGAAAATCTCTAAGTCCTGATACCTCTCCATACCTCCCACCACCTACCCCACTCTCCCAGACTTGTAGCGGGAGTCTACTCTTTCCGTTGATGTCCCGTGACGCCAAAAACTCCACACATGAACGCGCGTAAATGCAGCAATGAGACGACCTTCAGGCAACAATCGTCATCTAGTTTGAGTGGATCTTCTTGATCCTGTTGACACCCTCGTATAATGCGCGGTCCACGGCCGCAGCGACGGTAAGAGTACCACCGATCACGGCGCAGAGACCAACGAGGAAGCCAGAGAAGGACTTTTCACGGGCTTCGCGGTTGATGACCTTCATGGGTGAAATGTCCTATTGCAACCATTAGTAACCATATCAAGCATCAAGGAGTTGGTACTTGGGAACTTACATAAGAAAAGAAAACACCGGGGATACCACCCCGAGCGTGGATCCTCTCCTTGTGGCCCTCTTTCTCATCGGAACCACCCTGCAGACTCCTATGATGGCTGGTCACAGAGTACTGGTGCGTCTCAATGCTGCCCTTGTATGAAGCGTCAATGGTCGCGCCAAGGAGCTCATCATGTTTTGCGGAACGAGGAAGCTGGTTCTCCCAGCCGAGTGGCAAGTAAGCGGTCGACACGACCTTGATGAAGTACATGAAGTTGTAGGCCTTTTCGTCGGTATGCTGCTCGGTGTTGTCAAGAGGGTTGATGTGGTGGTTTGACCACCCACCAGCGCCAGAGCCTGCGTGCTTCCTCTGCATGTCTTGGACAACGACATCGCTAAGCTGGGGGCCGAAACGGAGCTGGTGAACCTTGTGGGTGAAGGTATGCGCGTACTCGTCTTTGAAGTAGTTCTCGAGGTCGTGAACGTGCAGGTTGCCGTTCGAGAACGATTTTCCAGGCGCAATATGGAAGTTACCGACAACCTTGTTGACGCGGATGCTGCCCTCAAGACGGCATCCTTCCTGACGTTGCTGGTCGAGATGCTCGGCGTAGTGTTCCCGCTCGCATTGCTCGACTCCCTCTCCACGACCGAAAGACCAAGATATCGAGGCGTATGCGTCGCGGACTTCGTCGCAGGTATTGCAGCAGCCGGGCTTGATTGCGTTGGTGGGGGCAGGTGCGCCGTAACATTCGCCGCAGTAGTCGGGAGCAAGATGTGACGCTTCGTCCGCGTGCCTGAAACCGTCGTTAGCACTCTGTTGCTTCCCGTATATGCCTGCGCCCAACAGCGGCTCCATGTAGACTTACAGATCCAGAGCCTTGATATCAATAACCTTGCTGCCCTCCTTCTCAGGGCTCAATCGCACCTTGTTGATGCCATGAGTGACACCCATCTGCAACTCTCCAGAAACATCCATGACATCGAGCGTGAGCAGCTCGCATGGTACCCGTGGGAACGTTACGTTCAGGGCAATTTCCATGCGTTCGCCTCTGCCCTTATCAACCACCAATTCTGGTCGCACAGTCACTCTCCTGTAGTCGGCCCACTCGCCCCACGTTAACCAGAAGATAACCAACAAGCTGACTATGGTGACGATTCCACCGGATGTTGTGCGCACGCGCGCATCTTCGACCGTCTTGGTGAAGGCGTCGAGCCTCGTGAATCGCGATTTGGCGGGCATAACGGCGGGTTACCGCTGCAGGGTAGGCGTGATTGTAGGAAGTTGGTGTGAAGCCCTGAAGTAGAAGGCAATTGGGGTCGAGACCAGTGGGGTTGAGGGTGTGGCCGAACGTTGTCTCGAGACGTGGTCGTAGCTCGCGTCTTGAACAAGGACCGAGTTGACTTGAACTGCAAACGCAATTGGCGCTGCTTCTTGAAAGAGGTGAAAGCGAAGGAATGAATATCAGCACTGTCCGTGCAAAAGCCGCAGTATCATCGTACAGAGAAGAGAACTGGCAAGCAAGTCAACGCGTGGACGCGGCAACGTTTCGGCTGGACTAAAGGACAGCTATGCGACTGAACACTAGCTCCGAGCGCCGCACCACGCTAGCGTGCTTCGGGTAGGTGCGCATACCGAGCACGTGGAGCTGCAGCCCTGGAGTGGTTCACCAATACCAGGAACCGTTTAGTAAAAGGGGGAATTGAGAGTTGCAGTCAAGTTGTACACAGAATTGAAGTAATTTCATTAGGTCTTAGAGGCATGCAGGATGCTCCATCATACCGCTATTCAAAGGTGACCAGATTGGCGTTATGCCATCTGAGGGGCATATTATAAATAGCCTACGAAGCGAGAACGTTCCTGAGCATGCTGTTGAAGCCGTCACTGAGCTTGTATAGCTCCACGATAGGTGGCTTCTTCGGTTCGCCTGCTTTTCTCCGAAGCTTCTCAGCAGCGCGCGCTCGGCTCTTGCGCTCAGCTTCAATTGGATCTGCGATATCTGTATCGTCCATGTCTTCCGAGTCGGTGGAGTCGCTACCGTCATCATCGAGTTCAAGATCTTGGAGGTCCATCTGTATCTCGTTAGTGTATGGCCAATATGTTGTCAGAGAGGAAAACGAACCGCGTTCAGCCCAAAGTCGCTCGACTTGAAGCCGGCGATACCACCCATAAGCGGATCAGGGTCATCACCACCGCTCGCCATCTTTTGCCTTGTCTTGTCCGAATGCCACTTCTTCCTCGCCATTTGCCACTTGATCAGACTGTTGATCTCACGAATGGCCTTGTTCTTGTCGATCATATTTGAATCGATTCCACCCTGGAAGAGCGCATTCATATCAAGCTTACCGCCACTTCCAGGGCCGTGACGCAGGAAGTCCAAGATACCCTCTAGCCATCCCATGAGCTGGTCGAAGAGACCGTTGTCATGCTTGTGCACCTCGTGAACGAACTTGTAGAAATTATCCTCGTGGCGGGCGCACAGATCTATGAAGGCCTGCACGGTTTGATTGGGGTCTGCAGAAATTTCTTGCCGTTGACAAGCTTCGATGGTTTTGATGGTGTCATCGGCGAACATGGCGAAGTCGGTAATGCTGTTGTATACGTTTGCAGATTTGTATACACGGACAAGAGGTTCGTAGAAAATGGTGAACAAATCCCGGAAGAGCTGCAGCGTGGTCGGCTAGAAGTACGTCAGTCATTCATCTCTGAAATCGCCTTTCCGTCAAACTTACTTCTTCGATGATCTGGAGCATCATGAGCTTATCCCTCTGTCTGAGACACAGCTTCAAGTATTGCTTCAGGTGCGCGAAAAGCTCAGCGCCAGATCGCATCTCCTTCTCGACCTGACCGGTCGCGTTAGTAGCTGTGCTGACGGTGCTGCGCGTGCTAGCTCTTCTGCTGAGGCGGCTCGATCTCACATTTTCGACCGCGTTGTTCCATGCAACGTAGGCATTGAAAACCTTCTCCACTTGTTGCGAAGACAATTCTGGTTGGAAGAACTCGGAGCGCAGTATGGTCACGACGACATCGACGTTGTCGCGCGCAGCTTCTTGTCGAATCGCTTCCTTGACACCTTCATCCGCTTGTACGTATGCTTTGATCTTGTCGCAAAGAACATCATCCTTGATCCTCGTGGAACCAAGTGTGTCGATCGTCTTCTGTACAGAGTTGACACCGTCGTTGATAGCCATACCAAATATACGCTGAAGTAATGAACGAGCGCCGAACGGCTGTGCAAGGAACAGATCCAGAACCCCACTCATGACGGCTGCAGGGTTGGCTATCCTAATGACGTTCTTGAGGACACCGTAAGGAACGAGAGAATGTATGCGTTTCGCCTGTGCAAACAGCTCGGGGGAATTGTCCTCGGCTAGGAACAAATGGTAGATGGTAGCAGCCACTTCTATCCGTAACCACTCTGCGAACTTTTGGTACTCTGGCTTCAGGTCTCGGATGGTGTTCTTGACTCTGACCTCTTGGAACAGGTGTGAGAGTCCATTGCTCTCTACAATTTCTCTCCTGAACTTCTCCATGTGGATGTCAAGCTCCGCTGCTCGCTTCCGCGCGACTTCGTAGAACTGCTTTTGTTCCTCGATGCGCTTCTTGTCCATCTCTTCTCGCCTCTGGATGTCTTCCATTTCTTCCTCATTGACCTCAATGGGATCGTGTGTCAGGAATTCAGCCATGGCACTTGACTGGGCGATTCGCTCGTTGTGTAGGAATGATCGGAGGAATGCGCGAAGAGAAACACGTTGTTCTTCCCTGTACAGCTTACGAGGAGCTTTGTACGCTGAAAAGTCCGCTGAGGCTCTCGGCGAACGTCTTCCTAGTGATGTCTGTGAGGCGTTCTTCTTATGTCCGCCCCAGAGATAGCTACGCAAACCACCGCCACTGCTCTCAACAGGTTCAGGAGG